GGAGGGGAGCAGAAAGGAGGAAACTGAGTGGGTAGAAGGGGGGAGATCACATGTAGTGTCGGAGGTGGGTTGTGGACTAAGATGCTTATGAATTTTCTGGATCTTTTCATCAAAAAATGCCATGAGGGAGTTACAGAATACAGTTGAGTACAGATGAGATGGTAGAGAGTCTGGGGCTTGGACAATCTTCTTGTACAGTGAGTATAGTGATTTTTTGTTGCCTTCATGTGAACAGATTAAATCAGTGTAGTAATTGGATTTAATTGGGTGATGCAGTCCTTGTAGTGCAGCATGTGATTCTTGTAAATGTCTTTGTGAATAGTTAGTCCGGATTTGCGTTGGAGCCGTTCAAGTTGTCAGCCTTTGGCTTTCATGAGTTAAAGTTCTGGTGTAAACCAGGGGGCAGAACGGGAGAAGGAAACAGACCTGTTTTTTAGCGGAGCAAGAGAGTTGAGTATGTGTTGAAGTCCAACGTTGTAGTGAAAGACTAGTTCATCGGGGTGGTTAGATTGTGAAAATCCATGAGGGGGTAAATACTAGAGGCAAGAGAGTCCAAGTTAATGTTCTTAATATTACGGTAGGAGATGAGACGGGGCAGCTTGGAAACAAAAAGAGGGACACTTATATTAAATGAGAGGAGGAAATGGTCAGTTATTGGGAGTTCATCAGCTGTGTGGTTGGAAGGAGAGACACCAGAGCAGCAAATTAGGTCCAAGATGTGCCCATGAGTATGAGGGACATTAGTAAACTGTTGGATTCCAAAGCTGTCCATGCAAGTCTTTGGTAAGAGGGTTATTAATATTATCCATGTGGAAGTTGAAATCTCCCAGTACTATATTGTTTGGTGAGAGGGTAGACAAATTAGTAAGCAGAGCAGCAAAGTCATTTAAAAACTGGTTATTGGGTTTAGGGAACAGAGGTGAATTATCGCAAGACCTCCTCCTCGGCCGGATTCGCGGGGTTGACAGATGTAAACAAACACCGTAGGAGTGGATTCGTTGTAGAGATGGGAAGACCGACTCTTTTTATTGATTCGAATCTTTGACTCTCGAACAGTAAAATGAACGAGTCGTGAACGAATCTTGAACTAATCATTTCATTCGTTTTACAGCAGGTGGCGCTTTAGCCCTATTGTGGGTGTTGTAAAGAAGGCTGCGGTTCTCCGACACTAAATAAGGCAACATGGTTTGCTTCTGCTGACAAAGTCTACAAAGTACACAAAATGCCATAAGTAATTAAAACCATGTGAAAAGCTAAGAAAAAAAACACTCACCACAATGTGAATGAGAGCAAAAAAGACCCGAGCTTTTTCACGTGACAAATGAAACGAATCTGCGAGAACGAGGCGAAAGATTAGTTCACAGAGAATGATCCGTTCATAGTGATTAGTTCACAGCAAAAGATTAGTTCACGGCGAAAGATTAGTTCACAGAGAATGATCCGTTCATAGTGATTAGTTCACAGCAAAAGATTAGTTCACGGCGAAAGATTAGTTCACGCCAAAATATTAGTTCACAGAGAATGATTCGTTCACAGCAAAAGATTAGTTCATGGCGAAAGATTAGTTTACAGAAAATGATTCGTTCACAGCAAAAGA